GTGCACTCAACAAGTTTGGTCTCCCGTAGGAGTAGGTTCCCCCCCCCCCCATGTTTGGGATTTTTGGAGAAAGCATCTGGCAAGGCTAGATATTAAGTGCTGGCAGTTACAGTGTTGCTCAAAGAGCATAGCAGGGAAACTGCTGCGTGTGTCCACACTGAGGTCCCTGTGATGGTGGAGTGCATTCACCTTAGCAGCTCTTTCAATGCCACAGAGAGTAGTGCATTGTGGTAAGTATCCTACTGTGCAAATGGCTATAGGATGCTTTGGGAAGGGTTTGCAATGCCACATGGGAAAGTCAGTGTCACATGATGCAGGTTTCTCAATCCCATTGCTCCATGGTCATCCTGTTGTATTGACAGCTGCTTTTCAACTGAGGTTCAGGGGAAGGAAGATAGTGACAGAGTGTTTTGGGAGACATCAGCATGCTGTCTTGTAAGTTCAGACAGTGACAGGAAACAACCTATCCTGAGGCAGGAGGAGGGGTAACCTTGACAGCTCTCTCACAGACATCTGCCTCTGTGTTCAAAAGCACCAGCATGCCACTGGAATGATCAGCTCTAGGATGCAGAACAAATCAGCATAGTATGCAAGCTGTCCAAAATAAAGCTCTGAAAGGGGATATGTGCATGCCAGTAAGGCAGATAGCTGAGTCTGAAACAATGAGCAGAGTGATCACTGGAAGGCTTACTGGCCATTTCCGGAGGTCAGGCACAACACAGCAAGTTATAGCACTGGAAGCTGATTTAATGTGCTATAACTTGCCAATGTATATTTGGCCTTTAAAGCTACTGACTTTGGGCATCTCTGTATGTTTAGTATGGACAAAGAGAAACTAATTCAGCCTTTGGGCCTCTACAATAGATAGAGTGAATAAATAAAGTAATAATTTCATTGATAAAACCTCCCCTGCAAAAGTGGTCAGGATGCTGAACTTTCATTAAAAGAATTTCTGATAGCTGCAAGAGATAAATATCTATGATAGCCTCTGTGTGATTTAGCAAGTCTACATCACATTAAAAAGTGATGTGAACTAAAATAGCACAGTAATTTTGTGAAAAATGGGATTCTGTTTTTGAAAATATATTAGGGTGTTTTGCATGACTACAGCAGTAATTCAGAAAAAGCAACATGGGAATAGATATTTTAAAACTAGAAGCAACTGAGACATAAGTCAGTGTTCCATTCAACAGAAATAAGCCACACACACAGCAAATGTATTAAGATTACTTGTGGAGTAAATAGAAAATGGCAGAAAGTTATCTTACTGAATAATGCCTTTTTGCACAAATCACATTTTAAAAACCCAACCTAGATGAAGATGTTTAATTTTATGAATAAATATATTTATTGGGGAAACACCCCAATAAATCCCATATCATTGTTCAGGGTAGTTACACAGAAATTAATTGTTAACATACATCAAATATAATACATAACATTTTACACTTTCCAACACTACTGCTACTAACAAATACCTGCCAATTAATAACCAAAATTGTCTTATTTGCAAGTACGTTAAGAGTAAAGTTTCCCAAGGAACTAATGGTAATTAGGAGCCTACCCTACTGGGCAGCCAGCAGGAGTTGAAAAGCAGCTAGGTGCCTACCCCTGTGTCTTTGAAAATCACCCAACATACACACCATTACAAGTCCAAATATGCATGTGCACATCTCCCAATACAGCTTCCAACTACAACATGCACCATAGCCAAAACCCAAATGAGGTGGAGGAGAGGTGGGGGATAAGAAGGAGAAAGAGGAAGTCTAGAGAAATGGGGTATTCCTGCAACACACGACAGCCACTCTCAATAATGAAGGGCTCTGTTCCTCCGCATTCCTTACAAAAAGTCCTCCTCATTGCCTACTGAGATGCTCACATCACTTCTCTTTTTCAAGCTCTCCATTGTCATCCCAGCAGCAACTGTATAAAATGTAAACATTTGGTCACCACCTCCAAAACTCAATAAAACATGCTATCCCTTCCTAATGATCTTTTCTTATCAAGGTTTCTGTTACCTCTTCCACACACCCTTTGCTGCACCATCTTTCCTAACCCAGTCCACACACATGAGCCTCTCCTAAGATTATAGTTGTACTTTCTTTGACATGGTCTCCTCTATACATGATATGGCCTTCTTGAGTTAAATGTAAAGGAACACTATTCTCTTTTAAATCCCTCATAAAGAGGGTCTTCTGATGTGTTACTGATAGTCAATCTTATTAATTTGTATAAAAATACCTTTTTGTTGCTCCTCTTCTTTAACCTATTGTTTTTGTCTATCTTTCTCTAGATTGCAAATTCTGGACAGAGAGGATAGTTCCTGCCTCAAAGAAAGTGCTTAGTTGCAGTGGATACCACCATTAAAAATTAATAATAAAAGGGAGTTTGATTCATTTGTGCATCTAGTAGTTTGCATTATCTACAGTTTTTCCGTGAGGGCCTCAAACAACAGCACATCAACGGCTGCAAACGCTGCATGGATAACATCCGTTTAAAGTGTTTCAATTCTAATTTAAAACCCAGAGAAATATTCTTATTTGATCTATAATCAATAAAAAAACTGATTTCTATAAAAAACAGACTTTGGCTTACATTTGACCTATGTTGGTTTAAGAATTCTAATTATAATACAGGAGAAAAACATTTCCTGACCAACAGATAGAATTTTTACCATAACATCTAACACTTGATTTATTTACCAAAGAAACTGTCTACATGCATCTACTTGTTCTAACAACAAGAAGTCCTGTGGCACCTTATAGACTAACAGATTTATTGGAGCATACACTTTCATGGGCAGAGATCCACTTAGTCAGATGCAGAGCTCGACAAATAATACAACCTACTCACCCATGGCGAGTAGATTGTAACCCGGAAGAGCCGGGTTCGGGCGATCTGCGCATGCGCAGATCGCCCGAACCCGGCTCTTCCGGGTTACAATCTACTCGCCATGGGTGAGTAGGTTGTATTATTTGTCGAGCTCTGCATCTGACTAAGTGGATCTCTGCCCATGAAAGTGTATGCTCCAATAAATCTGTTAGTCTATAAGGTGCCACAGGACTTCTCGTTACTGCAGATTCAGACTAACACGGCTACCCCTCTGATACTTGTTCTAAGACCACCAAAGGCTACCTTTCCACATTCAACGTAGAATTCAATATATGGATATTCCCTAACTGTGAATCTATAATTCTTCCAATGTCTGCTTTATACCTAAAAAGATCATTGCAGCATACTGCAATTGCATTTCGGAGCTGGAGACATCTACTTTCTACATTATTTTCTTGACTGCAAAAGGTTCAGGATCACCAGTGTGTTACTCATTCATATTAATCCCCAAAAGTGTTGTAATTACACTGGAAAACTACATGAGTTCAAATTACCACACTTTAATTATCCTACTTACCCTCCAAAGAACAATCTTCAGGAAAAAGGCAAAAAAAGGATCTAAATGCTATTTCAGTTTACTATCTTAAAATAAAATCAGGGCCGGACAGCACTCATTTGCCAATGGCAAGTAAGACTTTCTTTGAGCAAAGACTTAATCATCAAATTTCTGTAGCTTTTAAAGTGAAATTAATTTTCCAGCCATTACATCAGAAGAGACAAATTTCCAAACATAAACTGGGTGTGAATGATATTGTATAATCTTTTTGAGTCTGTAGATGGCTGTAACTGACTGAAGATGTGAACTGTCTACAAACTATATCCTGATTGCAGAGCATAGCACAAGCCAATTATTCTGGAACTGTGATAGGAAAAGACTAACTTCTCCCACTCATTACAGCTTAGCCAAGACAGCTGAGCTACTCTGTGGAAGCTTCTCCAAACTCAAGGCTTGAGCACACTGCAATGCTTGCACCTGTTACATAAGCAGACTAACTATAGCAGCAGATCAAGCTATCTACCCCATGTAGTACTGTTGAGTTGGATGCAGGGGGTTTCCTGACTATCTTAGCTCTCTGCTAGCCAAGGGCCCCAAAAAATTGCTGCATTCCTTTTGCTGTGGAATGTCAGTGGTTCTCTCTTGATGGGTGGCAAGAAAGGACCAGGATTTGCCTTCAAAGAATGTGTGGATCACTTAATTTCATTTTCATGGGGGGGTTAACTCCAAAGGTTTGTATACACTTTTTCCCCCTCCCACCAGCGTATATACACTGATGCAAACCGCAAAAGTAGTTGCACTGTCCAGTGTAAGAAGTGATCTGCACCCCAGATACTAACTAGAGTAAGATGCACTCCATATAATGTTTTGCTTTGTTGCACTGTATTTGAACTAGGGGAACGCATTTGCACAGCAATACTAGTGTAACTATAGCAGTGTGCATTGTAATCTCACTCAAGTTTATATCAACATAGCTCTTGCACTCAGAAGTACAAACCCCCGTGCAGATGCAGCTACCTAGACAGAAGAATACTTCAGTTGACCTAACTACTGCCACTCAGGAAGGAGGATTACCTATGACAGAAAAACCCCTTCCATTGCTGAAGAATGTATGTTATAGTGCTACACTGGCATAGCTACAGAGCTTTAGTTGTGCTACAGTGCAGACAAGTCTTTACAATGGGATTTTATCCTCCATTTTAGCTCTACCTCTAGTGTAGATGTAATGTACACTGGTGCAATGTGAACTGCACTTGCATAATTTACCTTAGATGAGACACCATGTCTTTAAAACTAGAGGTTTGACTAGCTATAGCTAAATAGCAATGTATATAGGCCCTAGTCTTAAACCCACCCTTCCCTGCCTTAAAACTGTTAAACGGCAGAATCTTCCAGGAGGCTGCATCTACCCTTCTCCAAAATCCTCACTGTCTGGTAGGAAGCAGGACAACTTTGTTAGCTAGTGATCATCTGGATGATTTTATAATCATGTGAGAGGCTGGTTCCTGTAAGCACAACAACATATGCATTCACAGCAAGACAATCCTGCCTTCTGAAAGTGCTCTAATAAAAAATTACAAAAAATGAGCATGTAAGTTTTCTTTATACTCACCTACGCAGTTATCACAAAGGCTACAATGAGAGGCACGAGGTGGGCGGAAAATCTTGCAAGTGAAACAGTATTTTAATTTCACTGTCTGTCCATTGATGATTACTTCTTTTGTTCTGGGAGGTGGACGGTATCCTCCTGAACTGGAACCATTTGCAATATCTAACACGGAAATAATTTAACAATAGAACAATAATTTTAATTCACTTAGATATTTGATAGGCACATTGCTATAATTTTATATCTAGTTTCTTTAACAGTGACATGTATTTTATATATCGTTTTGAATATTTAGAATACTTAAATAAGTTTTTCTCCATCACAGATTCTAAATATCTAGACAAATAACTCAATGCAATTAATCACCACAAAAAATGAAAGAAAACCAAAGCTAATTGTTTCCCTGCAAAAAAATCCACAAACTAATAAGCATAAATATACAAGTAGTGAAAAACCTAGCCATCTCAGCTTTTATACCACAAAAAGCAAAGTCTCACACTCTTCAACCTATCCAGAACCTTTACTATTTATTTACTTCATATATGATATATAATGACAGCTGTGACTATTAACATTCAGTAACACAAAAATCTGTTCAAAAACAGATTACATTTAGCTGGCCCTTCAAAAATATGCTTGCTCTTCAAGGAGTTTTACATTTGCGCTCTAAGAACTGGACTAACCAACTCATTTAAAAAAGATGACTAAAGGCATTTTCAATTGGGGCAAGAGCACTTGAGGATTTTTGTTTTTGTACCTCGCATCTATAAATCAAAATGTCTTTTAGCAAATTGCTGTAATTGTTTTACAAAGGTGGTTTTGCTTTTGGAAGCACTTTAAAGGTGTTTAATTAATAAGACAAAGAAATACAGTGTTCAAACTGAATGTAATGGCCAAACCAGACATTTATTTAATGCTCACCAACATTCTATTATCAGAACCCTTGGCACATATGGCAAATAAGATAATCGTTCACTGCTCTGAGACCTCTTAAATACCATGATATAATGGATTACATTCAAGATAGTATTTCACTCATCTGCTTTTTGTAAATTTAAAATTGAACATCTACTGATATTTTAATACAGCTGTTGTAGCTAAAAGTTGGTTATAATAAAAGTCTCTGCCTGCTATCTGGCAAAGTGATAGCTGAGATTATTTAGGACTTGAACATTTATTATTCCAGACCCAAAGCACTGGCTAGGTTAATCATTTTTAAAGATTGATATTGTATTTTAAAAGCTTCTGGAGTGCAGAGAGACTCCAACAAGCACATGTATAAAAATGCTACCTTCTTACTCAAAGAACTACCCTCATTGTGTATTCATAATAAAATTGGATAATTTAGTAAGAATATGCAAGTTTTACTATCAGCCAAGCAGAACTAAGAGAGCTATGGTAGAATGAAGCAGATTATTTTCTGAATCTTGTATCAAACAGAATTGTTAATTAAGTTTCAGTGTCAGGATCACCTGAGCAACCATGTTTTTTCCCCCTCCAAATGATGGCTGTAGATATAAACTCAGATGAGCATACACAGATGTCATGGAATAAAAAAAGGTCCATGACTTGTTTACACTGCAGTCTGACACAGTAATATTATTACAGTTGCAAATAAGCTATCCATCTGAAAAACAGGGTCCTGACAAACTTACATTTTAGCACCCACTTCTGAGAGAACACAAAAATGATATATAAAGATAGTTACTATATATCTGCATGTTTAGGTAAAATAAGTTATAAATATACTGAGCAAGTATTTTTAGTTAATTTTCAGATTTAAAACTAATTTTTTCTCAACATAATTTATAATCTCCTGCCTTAATTAAAAAAACCCAACATGACAACATTCTAACACCATGGCATCCAAACCACTAGCCACATGTGGCTATTTGGCCAGTTGAGTGTGGCTAGTTCACAACAGAAGTAGGTACTGGTTCAAAACTGGTTGGCACCATGGTTCTAACAGGTTTTTACTCTTAGAGATATATATATTTACGAACTTCACAAAACCTTGAAGTTTTTCATTTAGAAATAGAAAGCTCTGATTGAGCTGGATTTGTCATAGCTCAAGAATAAGAGACTATTCATAAAACAGATGGAGCTTCTTTAACAGCAATGGATAATTATTAGATTTAATATTATAGCAACACACCTCTGATACTCTAAGAGTATGTCTACAGGACAACATAAGCCCATGTTATGAATCCAGGCTCAAGTCTAACTTCCCTTCCCTTTCATGCTAAATCAGGGCTCAGATCTAGAGTCTTGGGATCCCATAGGGTGGATGGTCTACGCCTGAGTCAAGAAAGGAGCCACTGGACTTGTACCCTTGGAGTTTGTCAAAAATGTTCTATGATCTCACAAGCTGACTTTCTTTGTCCCCTGGACAATCAAGTTTGGTGACTGTCAGGTTTTCCTACACTGCATCATGAAGAAAAAGCTAGAGAGGCCACATATTGGGAGGGCACTAGAAGTCTGGGCTATGGAGTGGTTGATATCAGGCCCATGTAATGCAGTGTAGATGCAGAAGCCCTAGGCTGAGACCAAACAGTTCAACAATTCCTAACCTGGAGTTAGAAATAAGTGCAGACCTTCAAGCCCTATATTAACAAATCCTGGGTCTGCTAACTCAAGTTCTACTAAGCCTGGGCTTACTTTGCTGTGTAGACACAATCTAAGGCTCTGCATAGTATTTAGGTTTCTAGCAATACTGAATTATAAAATGCTGAAGTATTTTCACCTTGTAACGTAATTAGACAATTTTGCTTAAGATGGAATGTAGTATATATGGCCTTTAAATCAATCACTCTTACTTTAAATACATAAAAGTTTAATTTTAAAATCACAAATGTGAGAAAATTTGTAAATGTCAGGAATTTTGGCAGTGATTAGACTGCATTGATTTGGCAGTGATTACAACAATTTAAGCTTTTTCAGTTTCTTGAGTTGAGATGGGAAAGACTTCCAAGCCTATTTTATTGTTCACATATCAAGCTAAATGTCTTAATATAACCTATGAATATGATTAAGATGATTAAAGAGGATAGAAACAATAATCTTTGATCTTTAGATTCCTTTTTATTTAGAACTAAGCTAAGCTAACATTGTGCCAGGCAGTAAGCAAACATTCACACATAAGGTATTACAGACAGAACATCACAAGTACCAGGAGTGATTCCAGCTCCAAAATTTAAAATGAAGAAAGGTAAGGGTTACTTTTTGTCTTGGTTAAAAATCTACAGAGAATATTTTACAAATTTGCTATACAAAAGACACCATTTATCTTAGGCTGCAGGATCCATAACCATAAAAAGCTTTATCACAGAGCAACAAAAATAAAGTACTTAAGCCCAAAAGAGATTATTTACAGAATATATATACACAATATTTTTTGTTATAAAAAGATACTGGTCTCATTTATTTTTGTTGTTACAATTCAGCCCGTTAAGCACACTTATCATACTTTGAATGACATTACCATTAATATACTAGCACTACATTTTAATAATAAAAAAATAAAAATAATCCTTGGTGGAATTCCATTGACCTTAATGAAGTTATAATCAGGGATGAGTTTGACTTAAGGTGTCAAGGACAGACTAATAGACTGCAGTAGAAAATGTAACACTCTGAATTTGTGAGCCCTAATCAGGCTCCAATGCAGCAAGTTTCTAAATTCAAGCATGTTAATAGTCTTATTGACTTTTAACTAAATAACTAGCATGCTCAAAATTAGACATATAATTAAGTACATCACAGAAGTGGGGCTTTATTCTAGAATACCTTATTCATTTATTTTACCAATTAATGTTGGAGGACTGGCTAACACAATACTGAATGTGATTTTTCTGCAATGACTACTAAGTAATGATCAGCATAATATGATCTTTTAAAAAAAGTTTTGTTTACAGCTATACCAAATATCCATGGTATAAGCAGCTAAGCATGGGTCTGGTTTAAAAGTCATGCTATATACCATAGTTGAGCACATATTTTTCTAGCATAGTTCAAGCTACAGTATGGATAAGGCCTTCAGTAAATAGATCATTTTACCCTAAAGCAAGAGTTGATAATCCTCAGTACTTTTATTTACACAGCTTTGAATATTATTAGCTACTGTAAAATTATCAGACCTTCTTTCTTTCCTTCCATTATACACTTGCGCCTTGTCTACACTATGTGGTTAGTGTTATGTCAATTTTATAATGAACTCATCCACATCACTGGGCCCTTTCCGCCAACTTTAAGGATTGAGGGGTTTTAAAGTTTATTTTGGTACGCCCCTTGATGAGAGGAGTAGTGCTAAATCTGACCTTCCAGGGTTGAGGTTGGAATAGTGCAGACACAGTGCTGTTCAATTTGACTTTGGAAAATGGGAGGTGCCCTAACGTGACCACACTGGCCAGCACTTTCAACTCTGCCGCACTCTTAGGTACAGAGGAAAAGCCCTGGGAAGGTTTGAATTTCCTGTTTGACCAGTATAGTGAATCCAGCAGCACACATGACCATCAATGCCCAGGGTCGCAAACAAGCTCTAACATGAAGCATGCACGAAATACTGAATGTGACTGCTATGTAGGGAGAGGAATCTGTGCAGGCAGAACTCCAAAGCAGCAGAAGAAAAGCTACTATCTATGCCAAAATTGCATACGGCCTGCTGGAAAAAGGACAGAACAAGAGTATACAGCAGTGCTGTGTGAAAAGGAGATCAAGCAGGCGTACCAGAAGACAATGGAGTTGGTTTGGGTCAGAGCCTCAGACATGTCACTTCTATTAGTGGCTACACAGGATTCAGAGAAAGAGAAAGAGAAAGGAGAAAGAGAAAGAGAAAGAGAAAGAGAGCCACGATTCCAAAACCAACCGTAGATACCTTCCAAGCAATTCTTCAGGCAGCCTCTGGCAACAAACAGGAGGTCACTGTAGATGAGGAAAAGGAAGAGGAGAAGAATGCTCAACAAGCAAGCGGAGGATCTGATCTCACCAGCAATCAGGACCTTTTTCTAACTTTGGAGCCAATCTCCTCCTGGGACTTATTGTTGCTGACCCCGATGGCAGGGAGGGCACCTCTGGCGAGTTCACATTTGTAATCACACTACAGTGGCTAAATGTGAATTTAATCTTTGATCTGATGTGAGCAATTGGTATTCAGTGACATCTAG